CTTGGGACCTACGGCCACCACTTGCAAACCCTACACCCCTTAACCCTAAACCCTAAACCTTTCAGGAGCTCTTTGTGGTGTCCCTCGGCGTCGGCACGAAGTTCCGCGGCGCCGAGGAGCGATTCAACGACTTTGCCACTGCAAAGTTCGGGTTTGGGCTTCGGATCTCGGCCTACCTTAACCTATAGGGTTTAGGGTTTACGGTTTGGGGGTTAACCTAACAAACCTACTTTGTGAAGGGCCCCTATAAATTGCATATTCGGGTTTTAGAAAACGGACCTGGCAAGAGCAGGTTATAGTAGTTTCAAGTAGGGGCTCGGGGTTGCTAGTATAGCTAGTACAATGCATTGGAAACCTTCAGGTACATTGTTGCTGATTATTAAGTTCGGCAAAGTTTCAGCATGGAGGTGCAAGAAACCAAGTCGTTTAGATACCCGGGTCAGAGTGCTTCATATATAACAAGGTACTGTAAGTTTGGGATTTAGTGCTTGCAGTTGTACCCGAGCTGTCCTGGGTGTACTGCGCTTGTACTTGTAGGTCAGTCTTTCGGGGAATTCATGAGTAGTGGGCATTCGGACGCCTCGGTATCCTAGCTAGCATGCGAGAAAACCCCTGAACTCTTCAACATTCTTCAATCTGCAAATAGAGTCCTGATTAGTGAGCCCAGAAGGACTGTCACCCTACGCCGGTTAAGGTCATTCGTTTAGGGTTTAGGGTTCAGGGTTAAGGTCATTCAGCACCGTCCACAAAGAAGGAGTTATTCATCAGTTGTCGACACTACCTTTAGTCTCATTGTACTTCCTTCTGTTGTATACCTTAGAGGATCCTAAATGTAGAATTGCTTAAACCCCTAAAGAGGAACTACAATAGAGACCATAAGCCCTAAACCCCTAAACCCCAAACCCCTGAACCCTAGACCCTAAACCGTACATCTCAAAGTAGATCCCTAGGTTCTCACCCTGAAACCGTAAATCCGCATGAGACGGAAGGCGGATACCTCGGCGCAGTCGTTGCGGGATCTACATGCAGAGGTGCCTGGTTAGGGTTTAGGATTTCGGGGTTTAGGGCTTAGGGTTTAGGGGTTTAGAGTTTGTTAAGACCCTCAAGCAACATGCTATGGAAAGTAGTGGAAACCCTGAACCTCTAAAGCCTTAGCGGTATACCCCTGAGCATTGTGGCTAAATTGTTGGGCAGGGTTTGGGAAGGTTCAAGTATGCACTTGTGAAACCAATGTTTCAAGTATGCACTTGTAAAACCAATGTAGATCTTTGTGAAAAGCCCTGACCGTTCCCTACATATATATAAATATATATTTTTTAGTATATTGTATTATGTTAAGTTATATGATATTACATTATATTATGTTACATTATATTATATTATCTTATATTAGGTTATATTATGTTGCAATGTATTATATTACATTACATTCGATTTTATTGTGTTAAATACGTATGAATATGAATATGCGTTGGCCTTGGAGCTTGTTATATAACAATTTCAGGTCTAGTAGATGTTAACCGTGTATCTGGCTTTGTACGTACTACCTGTGCCTGGAACCCTAGTAAGGGCTTAAGTTTTAAGCAAGTCGAAAGCGAATTTGCTCAGCGTGGCCAAGCCCATTCCTCCCTGGCCCTCAACCCTAAACCCTCAACCCTAAACCCTTAAACCCTCAACCCTGAACTGTAAATTCTAAGCCCACAGGCTCCATGCCACAGGGTCTAAGAGTCTACCAGCATCTTCCTGATATCAAATCAGGCAAAGTTGCGACTGATCGAGTCTTTCGAGATCCTCATGACAGAAAACGCACCAACAGAAAGAAGCCCACTGTCATCCAAAAGAGTGTTCCGAACATTCAGGTCAACCCCGAAGGCTTTTAGAACCCTGGTCATATTGTAAGTAATCCTCAAACAGTACTGCTGATGGAACCCGTAAAAGGTACCCTTCAATGAGCATGAAACTCCCTGGCTTATAATACAACCCTCAACAGCCCTTGCTTGGGTTCAGGGTTCAGGATTTCGTAGTTTGGGTTTTGGGGTTTAGGGTGGGTTCAAGGGTTTAAGGTTTAGGGTTTGGGGGTTTAGGGTTTACGGGTTTAAGGTTTAGGGTTTGGGGGTTTAGGGTTTAGGGGTTTAGGGTTTAGGGTTTCGGGGTTTAGGGGTTGGGGGTTAGGGGTTTAGGGTGGGTTTGAGGGTCTAGGTTTAGACGGTTGAGGTTTTATTGTTTAGATCACAGGTTTCTTAGACTCCCCCCGCCAGACCCCTCGCAAAAGGGCAAAAAGAAGCTCAATTTGTGTCTTGTGTTTCTTTGTGTTTCTTTTTCTTTCGAAATTCTTCGAAATGCCTCGAAATGTATCGAAATGCCTCTGCTCAGAATCGCTCGANNGGGGGGGGGGGTCTGTCGGGGGGGGGTCTAAGAAACCTATAATTAGTGGGTTAGGTTTTCGGGTTTAGGGTAGAACGCAGACGGAGACTAGTTTTGTCTTCATGTCCTTCAGGTCAGGTGTAGAGAAGCCAGGCGCTGATCACTCGTATTCCATGGGACTCTGGTTTCCTTGATCCCAAACAAACCCTGAACCCTGGGGCCCATTGAGAAGCACTTTAAGAAGCCATTAAAGATGCCGTAATGAACGCCATGGCTCTGAACCCCAAACCCTGCACGCAAGAAACAGTGAAACACTGCTTTAAAAGCCTCAACTCGCATTTAACACCCAAANNCCTAAACCCTAAATGCCTTAAACCCTAAGCCCCAAGCTCTCTCCAACCCTAACCCTTGCCCAGAGGTACTCGCCCGCAGAGCCTTGAAGAGGTTTCTGCACCAGGACACCCGCCGAGCTCCGCAGACCTTGCTTCCCCTGTAGAGCCCAAATTGAAGCCTATCGACCCAGGGGTTTAGGGGTTTAGGATGGTTTAGGGTTTATGGTCTAAGGGTTTAGGGTTCATGGCCGCTCAATAAGGTAATTATAGGCGTACTTGCAATGACTTACACGACCCTAAACCCTAAACCCTAAACCCTTAAGTTTAATAGGACCTCTGCCGGTGCCTCGGCGGCGCGCACGGAGAGCTCCTGTCGCGCGTGGCGTCCGTGCCGTGGCAGAGTTCATCAGCCTAACGGGTTTAGGACATGTGCCAGGACCCGCCTTGCACCCTCAAAGAGGGGTTTATGGTCTCAAAAAATGGGCATTTCGGGTCTAAGAGAGGGTAGGGTAGGTGGTCTTCGGCCCTAAACCCTAAACCTTTTAGGCTTTACGGTTAGGGTTTTCTTGAGTTTTATCGTGAAACTTTCTGCCGTCTTCGAGGGTTTCGAGAGATTGCTGGAAGCCCGAGACTTGACCGACGTCCTCTAAATGAGGGCCCCTTCTTCAGCATATTCGGGTTTAGGGTTTAAGGTTTAGGTCTTCTTTACAGATGGCGATTGTAGTTCCTTTACTCAAGATCCCTACAGTAGTATAGTTGAAGCGAAGTTCCCTAGTTGAGAGGGTGCTGTTGAGTGATGGTTCTTCTGCGGCCGACTTAAGGTCTGTGGGGACCTGGTGAGGGCTGAAATCCGGGCCAGGTTTAGTGGGCTGAGGAGTTGTATGAGGACTTGCTCTGGCCATTTAAGCCTGATTTACAGACCTGTTGACCCTGATTAACAGACAGGTCCTTCAAATAGAAGAGTTCAATGATTAGATATTCGGGGGGGCGCACATTCAGGCAGGAACCCCAAGCCACTTTCAAAAGCCATCCCGGAAGCGCCACCTCAGGATAGATTCGCTCTGCGGGAGGACAGGCTTTCAAACAACACCTAAATTCTGTATCAGCGTGCATGCGTGCATGTCTTGTTCTCGATGTGATAGGGCCACTGGAGAGCTTTAGTACGTTTTCTGAATTCTGGTGCTTTGAAGAATTTGAAAACTCAGGAGGATCCAGAGACACCACCATCATGGAATCACGCCCCAAAAGGCCAGACTTATCCAAATCGGAGAAAACCCTAAAGCTACGCTTAGGGTTATAGGGGTGTGCCAGTTTAGTCGGGTCTTGATTCAGGGCTTAAGGTTGAGGGGTTAGGCATTGAGGTTCGGGGTTTACCAATCGCAGGACACGAGCCTGCATCTCTATACCACTTCTGTGCCGTGTGGGAATGCTGCCTGGAAGCGCTGGGCCAAAGGAGGTAGTGGCTCGGCAGATGCGTGTTCTGATACCGACAAGTAGCCACATGGACCAGATGTCAACTGATTCAGCACGAAAGGGTTGGTGTTGTACCATGACCTCTATACACCCTGACCCGAAACCCTAAACCCCTAGCCCTAAAACACTAATTGAGAGTTTGCAGCTTTGGGGCAAAATCTAGAGCGTCCTCATGACAAATTCAGACCTTGAGCCCTCGAAGCCTACACCCCTAGCTCCCAATCGGCGCGTAAGGATTCATAAAGATGTGACATCATGAGACCAGAAGTCCATAAGGGTTCTTTATGAGGGATTCTACAGAGGGCTTGTTGTCAAGGCTGGTATGGTTTCTCAAAAGAAGAGCTTGTAAGGATTATTCTACAGGCTCTTTCCAAGAATTCATAGGATTTTGCATGTTGGCCTTTGTAGGGTTGTTAAAAGGTCAACAACGTCGTTCTTTCGGAGTTCAGGCAGGTTTTGTGTGTCCAGCTTCGAACAGTAGCAGAGTGATGCAGATCCGTGCTCCAAGATGCGCCCGTTCATAATGTCTACACATCCCGATCACCCTAAACCCCTGAGCCCTGAACCCTAAACCCTGAACCTTAAACCATCCTAAATCCTAAATTTCCCTACGCTCAAACACTAAACCCTACATCCCTAAACC